CACACAGAGTCACACCTAATGGTGGAGTGCGTAGTAGGGGAGCTCCTCTAAAAGGCTAAGATACTTTTTGACTGATTTGGTGATTGGCAGGATCTTCAAGTACAGCAGTTACCCTTCTTCATCCCGGATGGAGAAAATAATGACTTCTGCTCTGAACTTCCATCCACATTTCAGAGCAATCAATATAAGGAATGAATGCCAATATGCAGGCTACTGTAATCCTCAAATTTTACGCAGAGTACAAGTCAACCCTTGAGAAATTTGAGATTGAGATTTGAGAAATCAAATCTTTTAAAAGTCTGGTGTGTAGGGTTGTTAAGTGTTGGTTTGTCCGTTCAAGGCTACTGTAGAAACATGGCGGTTCAACATGGCAGATTCCATGGAAGGCGACCTGCGGCCGGCTTTAGGTTTCTGGGTTTCCACATCACAAAGGACCTTTCCTGGACCCTCAACTCGATGACCCTGTCGAAGGCTCACCAGCATCTCTTCTTGTTATGGAGGCCTTGAGTGGCAAGTGAGAAAAATTGTGTTGATCCATCCTGATTTTCTCTTCTGTTTCAACTTAAAAAGAGGTTTAAAAAACGGTTTTGCCAGGTGAGGAAAAGCAACTTTATTCGAGGATTGTACAGTTTTTCTTTTTCATCTCTGTAAACAGGTGTAAAAAAGTTAATTTTCATTTGTCAGGATCATAATTATAAGTCTTTATTGTAATACTCATACCCATGTTCTGAAAAGGACTGAAAGCGTTCATACAGATGGGGTAGTAGTGCACTTCAGCCTCTTGTGGCCAAAATGAGTATTACAACAACAAACAGTTAGGTTTCAAAAACGTTTTTTCACCTATTCTATAACACAGGAGAGAAAACTATTTAGATCAGTCTTAAAGAATGGATCAGCAGGATTCTGTCTGTCTCATACTGGAAAGCACTACGGAGGGTGAAAACTGACAGCACATCACGGGTTCTTTAGTCCAGTGGTCTCAAACTTTTTTCAATAACGTACCCACTTTAACATACTTTTTCAACCAAGTGCCCCCTGACCAGCAAAAATCTTTTTTTTCCATTTTTGGTGGAAAAAGAAGCCTATATAAAGAGGTACAATGCAGCTCTGCACCCTCAGTGTCTGTACTTACAGCCTTGTAACTGTGAAAGCACAATAAAACATATTCTTCCTGATACTGACAGTATTTTGTTGCTTCTGTTTTGACTTTATTTTCTTTTGCACTTCCTCTGTGTTTTCAGCAGTATTGCTACATTTCAACCACAAATCCATTTTATTGATTTTCATGTGTCATTCAACATCAAAACTGTTCATTTTCTTCTTCTGTGAGGTTTTACGGCAACGATTTGAAAATAGGAATATCGAATACAGAGTGCGATTTATTCAACTTATATTTGCATTATTTTAATTGAACTTATTATAGTATAATTATTTTAGGAAGTATACATGACTGATCTTTTTTAAATTAATATTTTTTTAATCTCTCTCTCAAAACAGACTGCCTGCAGCATTTACAGCAAGTACCTCCATTTTTTTTTTAGAAACACTGCTTTAGCCAGTGCACAGCGGGTCGACTCAGCATGCAAAAATTCGGAATTTGTCCCAATATTGTTAATATTTACTTGGGTTTCTATGAGGCCGTTCTTTCAAGGAATTTCCCCTATGATAATTACTACCAGTTTATATATTTTCTTTCAAGGAAATGAGCATACAATTGTTTCTTGTAAATATTACAGACCTCTTTCTGCAATAAATCTAGTTTGGGAAGAACTTTTGCTTCCTACATTTCATCAGTTAATATGTCAAGTGGCTGATCACTCTTTAACTCCTTTTTGTTAAAGGAGCTTTCAGTATTTTTACTGGTGGACGTCGAAACTTTGGGATGAAACTCCTCAGTTGTTCTGTTCTGCTCAAGTTATCGATGGGGCATTGAAAATTTTTATACACATTCAGCAACAAGTTGAGGCGATTTTGTGCAATGTTTGTCAGAAGCTGGCAAGATGGAAGAAACGGTCATCATGGACTCACATGAGTTAACAGTTCTGGAAAAAGCTACTAAGTGGAGCTTGAGTTCAAGATTATTTTGTCAAAAAATACCCACAACTCACTTTTAACTTTCTTATTATTTTCCATCTAGAGGTTAATTCCACCATAAACCTGTGGAATTAAACCTGGACTTCTGTCGAGCTCATACTGTAGTGTGTGTGGTCTTGTAGAGCTGATGTGGCCCAGGTGGTGCCGAGCCTCCATCGCAGCTTTAAAAAAGTGACCGTCGGGTCTCAATTGGACGGGAGATGGAGGAGAGGCACAGCGAGCGAGGGGACCTGAGGCACGTGGCTGCGCTCCACATTATATAAATCCACACCACTTTTATGGGCTCCATCGGGGTAGAGATCTAAATCTGGGTTAACAAGCAGAGCTTACCACTAAGAGCCTAGGGCACCAGAAAAGAGGGAAAAAAGTCTTCTTTCTGAAATTCATTTCCCATAAATCATCTTGGGCTGGAGTCTTTGAAGTGGCTTTCTTAGACTTTGGACAGGAAGTGTGGGGCTTAGAGCTTTTTTCCAACCCAAAGAGGGAGAGGAGAGGAAAGTAGAGGAGAGGAGAAGAGGGAGAGATGGGGAGAGATGGGAAGAGAAGACAAGAGAGGAGAGGAGATGAATCAGGAGAGGAGAGGAGAGGAGAGAAGAAAGTAATGTAGAGGAGAGGAGAGAGGAGATGACAGAGAGTAGAGAAGAACCCATATCTCCATTGTGCTGCAGAGAGCAGTGATAATCCACACATAAATAGAAACTCTGAACAAAAAGGAAACACAGCATGCAGAAGAATATGTGCTAAGCCTCCTTTGGACTCTCATTGTTCGCTGCATGTCATCTTCCGTGGATTGAGGAGAGGAGGAGAGGGGAGGAGTGCTGCTGGGCAGGCACAACGCCAAATGCAAATATTGTGGAATAAAATGGTGCTAAAGCTCAACTGTGCCACTTTGCACCTAAGCCTGTGTTGAATTAACACTGTTATCATAAACAAAACATTCTGTTAGTGTGGAAGTGGGCTGAGCGTCGACAGATGGTTAAGAGCATTAGGGAGATACCTGCCAAAGGGTGCCTTTCACCCCCTGTTCGGGATATTAAAATTCACTGGTGAGCCATGGCTGCAAAGGCGCCCGTGGCATATGGCCCAGTAAATATTGACTGATATTTTAATTACCCTTTGCATAATCTAATAATTAATCACAAACATTACAGTTTCACCTTTATCCCGCCACTGCTGCAGAGGTGCAGAGTTTCAAAATCACTCTGTGTGGAGACACAGTGTGACGCGCTGTCACACACTAATCAAGGATGAAGTATTGAAGGAGCGACACTGCAATATAAACATATCACATTACAAATAAGCACTGGATTAGGAGTCATGGTGCAGAATGACCCCTTTATGGTGTTATATCATGATATGTATTATTTCATCAGTTAAACCTGCTACAAGGGGTTTTAGCTGGTTATGAAACAGGTTTAAGTTACTCTATATGACTTACATAAACAAAGCAGACTATTTCAGTTTTGTCTGGATTTAGGTGGAGGGAATTAAGAGACGTCCAGTCTTTGGTGGCAGCTGAGCAGTCATGGAGGGAGGGAGCTTTAGCAAAGAAGTAGATCTGTGTAACATCAGCATAACAGTGGTATGACACGTCTTGGAAGCGGCTGAACAAATGACCCAGTGGAAGCATAGTGAGAACAGGATTGGTCCAAGAGGGAGAAATGTGGATTACAATGAGGTGTGCCTTTCTACCACCATGGACAGTGCCATGGATTTATATTTAAACATCACAATTTGAGATAAAGTTTAAAATAAGTAAGATTGACTAAACCAGCGAGCATTCAGCATTTCACACTCAGTGATGCTGGATGCTCATACAGCCAAACTGCCATATAGCCTACACCTGTGGTTCCCTACCTCTTTCCGTTACCCCTTTTCTGACGACCCCTGACTAAGTGACATATTTTATGGATCAATCAATAACAATAACAATACAGAACATCTGATAAACTGTACAATTTAGCCCAAATAATGAACATAATAACTGCAAGAAGCCTAGCATCTGAGACGAGTTTTCCTGATATTTTTAAAGGACCTTTTTATTACATTTTCTGTTACATGCATTTTTTCATTTTTTAACAATCATATATACTTAATAGGCTTATTTTTTGACAAACTTAGTATTTCCTTCTCATTGTTCTCTTAGCTCTCTGGTACAAGGCTGTTTGTTTAGCTGAACATTGCTTGTGTTCAGGTCTTT